TGGTTGATGGGTAGCTTCTAAGCAAACTTGGTGAACTCCATTCTTTGCTCACACATAAACATACTTAAACATTCTGCAGTGACAGACCTTATTTTGCTGCCAAAACCACCTTACATCAGGAAGAACAAAACTGTGCTTATTCCAGTAAGAAATATGAGTAACAGAGATGTCAAAGGCTTAGTAGACTTTTTACTTAAAGCAAACTAACTTTACACAAGCCAGTGTAAAGCTAAAAAACTATGACCACAAATACTACAATGGTCACCTTTTCCAAAAACTAGTATATTGTGTTACAACCAGTGATGCATGATGTAGTACATAAAGTTGTGATCCAAACACTATGTGGCTACTAGCACTTAATCAGCTAAAGGTAAGCCTTCACAAGTATCACAGTCAGTACTTTGGAAATTCAGGTTATCTGCTTCGATAGTTCTGTAATAACCATCAAGCAAACACAACTGCCTTTGTGCTGAAGGAGTGAAAATTGACAAAACCACATGAAAAATCCACAATGCATTCAAAACATAATTTAGGCAGTGGATGAGTAATTCATGGCAGTATCCTCTGTATCTTCAGTCGTAAGTTACCACATTCCTTGACAAAGAATGGCCAATAGTTTCACTGATAAAGAATACTGAGTTAGTGACTGTAACAACTTATGACTTATAATAGGCAAATATTCATGGGATCGTAAACAGTCTCAAAGGCCTTCTTCCCACACTTCTGATCTTTGAGAGGCTGCACTTAGAGAGGAATCAGAATCTGAATAAAACCAGCTCAGAAAAGCAGCCCTTTGCCCACACACAGAAGGAGGATCTTGGCTCAACTGATCACACACATGGGTTTGATGCTAAGGGCAGCAAGCCAGTCAAATTGAAAGACACATTCGCCTAAAATTTGCTTACATCATGTTAATCAAGCAGTCATAAATCTAGCTGTAAGCTCAGTAAAAACAAGTTAAAAAAAATACATGTATATTTATAAGAGGCAGGTAATAGGTTTGCAAGATTTTGATCCGTGGCTTAAGAGCAGGTTATGGTGGTAGTGCTAGTTCTAAGAATAAAGTCTCCTGATTTTCTCATTCTTTAGAAGCTCAGCAGAATGCTTAGAGATGATACACAGTGCAAGGTAACTCAAAAAGTCTGCCAAAGAACACAAGACCTTGGGAGATAAAAACACAGATGCCATGGCTAAGGGTGTATTGAAAACTGGTGGAGAAATGGAAATACTTCCTAAACCTGAGGGATGTTGGTAAACAAGTTCGGAGGCTCCCATAAGACTATATTCTTTCTCCTTGATGATTTTCCCACCTTTTTCATTCTTACCAAACCCTGAAAATTTAATCTTTTTCCTCATTAAATCAATTTTTTCTTTCCTCTGAAAAATCCATTATTTACTCATCCTGCACCCTGCAAAATGAATTCGTAAACAAAGGAAAAGGAACAAAGATACAAGAAACTGCACTAACCAAAGAACTGCATGATGTTCAGCCTTCTCTAAAGCCTATTTACTCGCCTATGGATGACCTGTTCAAAAGAATTCACCCGGCTACTGGTGTTGAAAATTCCTACCAAGAAACTATTTTTAAAAAATTCCTGATTTGCATAAAGATGATACCACTTGGAGTTTTTATCTGATTTCACGAGGAAGAATCTCTACTTACAAGGAATAGTACAGCAAGAAATTAAAGCAGTTTCCTAAGAATTTCTAGTGCTCTGAATTTTAGTGATGCTATTACTGTAAAAGTTATGTGGCACACTGACACCATTAAAAAATGAGAAAAGAAAAAAAAAAGCTTTAGGTTCTTCAGCTAATCTGGTCAGGGACATTGCTGTCCTGTCTGCTCAAATCAAGTTCCACATCCTAAAGACTGTTTTCTTTGTAAACCTTTCGCTACCTTTTTAGAGAACAGGCCCACTCCTCTCTGTCTTATTTCTTATTTCTTAATCTGATTATGCTCTTCTACTCATATGTATACCATCTGGTGCACGCACAAGCAAAATTCACTGGGCTCAGATGTAAAATCAGGTGACAAAACCAGCTTGTAGGACACATTGCGCAAAAAAATCCCTGAAATGAAAAGAAATCCAATACCAAAAAGAAAAAAAGAAAAAAGGCACTGAAATGCATTAAGTCATTATAACTGAAATGGTTCTGATTATATTAACAACTACAAAAGCTTAAACAGAAGCTTTTCAGAAACATTTCAACAAAACAGAAACAGTTCTAAAAAAATACATTTTTCCCAATTACAATTAACACAGAAGAAGTGACAACTCCCCGTCATTTTATTATTTCTGATTCCAAGAACTTTTGAGAACCATTTGCTGAAGTCTTCCAACAGTCAAAAATCTGCAATGGGATTTTGAGTTTTGGAAAAAAGAAAATCCTTGTGGTCACCAGCACACTCTTCACTGGCTACAGAAACTCCATTCTGCTCTATTATTAGGTGCTGAATATCACCATTTTTCATTTCACCTTTGTTTCAGTTTGCTCTTGGTTTGTTGCCAAAGCCCTTAAATACTCTGCAGCACTGCACACACACTGTCCCAGTGGCTTATTTCAGCATTTCTTAAAGCATCAGTGGCAAGACAGAAACAAAACCGATCTTCCTCCTCCTGTTCCCACAACGCCTTTTGTTGTATGGGAACAGGCACTGCACAGTGAAGAAGGAAAACATACATTCCAGAACTTCTTATATTACAAAGCATTAATTTTGACACCTTGAAAATGCTTGTTGTTATGCAGTGGTTTTGTACTCCACTAAGAGGATACACAGGCTTGGAACAATGCTCTGATATTTAATAGAGCAAACTCAAATCCCTTCCACATAATCACACTGCCTCTCAGAAGACTGACACATCATGAATGCTGCCTCTGCCTTGCTGTCACTTATCATATTTTACCCTGCAGCACAATCATTAAATATCTGTGTTGCAAGGCTAAAAGTTCAATGTCAGCCTGACAATGTATGATGGGAGTATTGTTACAGCTGTATATAATTAGCTTTTACCTTTTTCTATAGCAGAAAAAGGTTAGAAAATTGCATACAATGAAACAATATGAAAGAACTATGTTTACTCTGCAAACTTCTCAAAAGTTAGGACATGACAGAACTAAAATGACACCTTTATTTGTTATATTTGTAAGAGTACAGAGTATAGTTTTCAGCCACTAATGTTTCTACGATTCTTGCTTCACACTGCAACAAACCATGCTCTATGAGTAAAGGAACACATGCACTATTTCTTTTCATTGTTCATCATTCAAGAGCATTCAGTTACATTAGCTATAAGACTATTTTGCTCTGTCAGCAGACTTCCACTTAGTTTTCTACAGGTTTCACACTTCTACCTAGAAAGAATAAAGCCAGTCCTATAGAAAGAAATTATTATTTCTCATGCAATTTCAATGCATTTCTTGAGTCAGGTCAACCCTGTATAGTAAATGAGAAACAACTATTTCAATGATCCATTCTTCAAGAGTAATCCGTACTTACTGAAACAGAGGACAAAATGGAAACATAACATAATAAGCAAATTTCTCTGTGGCGCTGAAGCTTTAAAACATGCTCTTAGTTGTATGTTTATCATGACGACTCTCAAGATGCTACTACAAGTATGTTACAGCCAGCAAGATGCATATTCCTACTTACACCAAAAGCTGTGAAGGATTACAAAAAAAATAAACCATTGTTTTTCCTTACTTCATTGAAAACTAAGGCAGAGTTATTTTCCCAGTTAGCAAAAAACAAGGTCATTAAAACCCAAATCCTGCTAGCCTTTTTCATGCAAATTATGTAATTTGTACTGGGTACTATTTGCATGAGAAAGGGTGCAAATCTCCTTGTCTAAAGAACATATTTTATTACCATACTTCTCGAAGAGTAAACAAACAAAAAGGAAAATATGAAAATAATATTAAAACAATAAGCAGAACATTAACATGTGCCTGAACAGCTGAACTTCGTTTTTCAGAAGTGCTGTATCAGACAGAGTAACAAATAAAACTAGAGCAGTTCACCATTACTGAAAGGAGTAAAGATGAACTTTCTTACAAGGGTAGGCAGTAACAGAACAAAGGAGAATGGCTTTAAGATGAAACAGAGTAGATGTAGATTAAACATTAGGAAGAAATTCTTTACTATGAGGGTGGTGAGACACTGGAACAGGTTGCCCAGAGAAGCTGTGGATGCCCCATCTCTGGAAGTGTTCAAGGCCAGGTTGGACAGGGCTTTGAGCAACCTGGTCTAGTGGTCTGTGGCAGGTGGGTTGGAACTAGATGATCTTTAAGGTCCCATCCAACCAACCCATTCTGTGATTCTAGGATTCTATAAAATAAACACATACGTACTTTTATGCTTTTAATACACTGAAATTTATGTAGAAATACTAGTCCCTGTATATTGTTTTACCCAACTATATCATTCTACAGAAGTTATTTTACGTATCAGTCTTGTCAGTTCTTTTTTAATGTCATTACCTTTCTTTTATGATGGGTTGTTGAAGCATCCATCTCTTCTTCTCCTATATTGTCAATCTGTGAAGTTGGACTACAGTTCATCCTCTCCTCTTCTTGCCTCTGAAGTCTGTCTGCTACAGCCTGGATTGCTTCTGTCCATTCTTCCCTATCATGAACAAGCCAAAATCCCTGTTAGAACTCATAAATCCCAATAAATGATTTATAATGTTTTTCATATGCTACATTGCTTCAATGTTCAATTCTCCTGTTACACAGCAAAAGACTCATATAAATCCATCACTTCAATTTCCTTCCAAATTCTGCTTTATGTTAAAGGTGGTAAAGTTGACCAGCATTAAAAAGGATCACTGCATGATTAATTTCAAGAATTACCAGTGCCTGGTTTTGTAAATACATTAACAGTGAAAACTTGAAAACACTTGCTCCAGGTATAACACAGCTTAGAACATAGAATGTCATCTCCTATCCAATACTATCTGATAATAACTTGCTGTTTTAACAGACTTCTTTATACTCTCCCTCCCTGTGAGACACTTTCACAGAAAAACAAAAAGATTTATTAAACCACGTTGTGTGTTCAACTCTTTGTCTGTCTGCACTCAAAACTCAATTTCTTGGCTAATTTCAAATTGCCCTGAGAAAGAGGTCCTCAAAGATAACTGAATTCCTACAAGTATCATAAAAAACAGTAGCTGCACAGAGAGGCAGGCCTAGATGAGGGTTTCTGTGGAGGGACTAGCCAGGGCCGCTAAGCCCATGGCTATTCTGTGCACCAGCTAACCAGCACAGACACACCAGCCAGCCCATCAGCACACCATAGCCCTACACCAAGTGCAACACCTGCTGTTTCTGCTCAGCCAGCAAGCGATATAGGAGTCTGGTGCTACTACTGAATGCAGTCAGAAGTAATACACTGCATACACAGAAGAAAGACAGGGTGCAAAAAAAGTTCAAGGTAGAATAAAAAAAAATTCTAAGTGACTATAATAATGACAGAGAAACAACAGAAAAAGCAAAGTCATTGGGGGTTTCTTATTGTTACAAACAACATGAATAAAGCCAAATCATAATACTAGCCTTAATAGGACAGATGCCCACAGTGGGAAGACTCAGTGCATCTAACCAGAGACACAGTATAGAATATTTTAGCAAGGTACACCATCCCATATCTCCTACATTCTTTTGGTGCATTAAATAACCTCATTCTTATGAGTTTGTGTATGTTTAATGAAACAAGAAAAACTAATCAGCAAACATAAAAGAAATTATATCAAGCATGCTGCTTTCTGTGCCAAAAAAAGGAACGTATTAGGGAAGAGTAAAAGGAAAATTCAAGATAGCAAGGCTGGAAAATCCTTTAATGCAGGCTTCAATTGTTCAAAGTTTAACACTTCAGAAACATATCATGACATAATTTTGGCTTATTTGAACACACTCATCCCACCTACTCACAGGCAACTGAACACTAGCTATGAGCTCAGATAATATATTACAGAAGCTGACTTATAAATTCTTCAACTAACTGTTCAGATGTGCTCAGAATGTCACAGTTCCAAGTGCTGATCGCTGTGACGTCCCAGCAGAGACTGTGCTGGGACTTCTGTGTGAAGAACACAGAAAGCAAAGCAAAAATAAAACCCTCACCGTTCCTCTGGCGTGTCTACGTGGAACGTCCTCTCTATGACAGTAGTCCACTGAAGACATCTGATAATGAACGTGTTTGGCTTTGGTCGCTCTGTTTTCATTAGCTGACATTCTAGAGAAATACATGACATTAGCACTTTCAGATATTGCCAGTTAATGAATGAAGAACAAATGAAATTACTTAGATGAAATATATATAGCTTATGTATACCAATCCAGCATGTATCCACTACACATACGGAGATACAGTATGGCAATAAAACCACAGGCTTCAACAAAAGGTAGAAGGTAATAATTGTAAGGTGAAGAAAGCAGTCAGAGGAATTGATGGAACTTGTACCATTGTCCATATAAAGAGTGTAATCCCCATTTGCAAATTAGGCCTGTGTTATAAGGGTAAGAAGAGTATTAGAGCCTGAATTGCTCTAGTATGCCAAGGTAACAGCAGTAGCCACAGGCATATTTTTCCATCTGTACCTGGCAGGAGGAATATGACATCTTCCCTTCAGTGGTAACCATGCCACAACCACCCATGCTACTGTCACGTCAGGATTAGATTTATTTTAAAATACCCTATTTGAGAAAATTCAGATGTGGAAACTAGCCTGATTATTAAATATAGACTAACCACACACATAGAGGGGGACTGTCCCAGGAAATCATCCAGTTCTCTTGGTGCCCCAGAGCAGAATCAGGTCTACCTATGCTATTTCTCCTAAGTGTTTCTCTACAC